CATATTAAATATCTCTGGGCCATTCACCCTTATTAATAAACGAAGAATAAGCTTGGATTTGTTACTTCATGTTTTGTCTCTGTTCATTGAATTACAAATGGCATTTGAGTGATAGGAACAAAACACGGTGTAACTAGTCAAAGTTTATTCCGCGTTTATTAATAAGGGGGTCAGAGTATAAACTTAGCGTATTCTCCCAAAATCTTTTAACCTACTCTAACAGGATTTCCCCAAATATATTCTCCCAACATCTGTTTACCTACTCTTACAGGTTTTCCCCTAAATTTTGTGTTGAAATTTGCGTTGGTGTATGCAAACTACAGGTGATTCCAAAAAGTAGCATATAAATATCAGTAGGTATACATACATTGATAGTACTCTGAGAGTTTAACATATAAGTTATTTAATGATTCAAAGCATAATAAACTAATCAAATGACCAAAAGAGGTAAGGTAAAGCTAGATGACACTCGAATTGAAATGACCATGTGGATGGGATCGCCAAATTCTAAAAGATCATAGTGAAATGACACTACGTTTTTGTTGTGTTGTCTTAAAAGTTGTAGTGCTCCATGGGTTAGAGGATGAGGATATTCAGTACCCCTAGCACGAACCAATATCGAATTCGTATCGTTTGCGAGTCCGAAATGTCATTGTCAAATGTGTACTGATTTTTAGTTCGCGTTACGTACTTTGTGCCGCTGCTGTTCAAGTTTTCATACAAAATTTGACATTGACATTTCGGTTTGCAAACTATTCGAATTCGATAATGGTTCGTGCTAGAGGTACTGGTATCGTAAGCGTCTCCGCTCGTTCGTACAGGAAGTAAGACTAATAATAGGCTGCGGTGGGCCCACACCATCAGGTTTTTTTTTGCATAAAAAGGTCCCAATTTTTAAATTACATCTTTGACTAGAAATCTATTATGCATTTCATGCCAATAACCTATAAGGTTCTGTCAGGTCGATGCCAATCACTTTCTATGAGACATAAGCAATGCTTTTGGGCGGACATTTAGCACAAGGAAATAATATGGCAAGTACTAGTAGATAAACTTAAGATTCTGTGAACAGCCATGTGCATAAATGTGGGAAACTCTTTGTTCCATTGTCCCTGGCCATTTATTATCATAGCTATGTTGTCAGCTGTCACGCAACTCTATTAAAGCACTCGTCAGCACTATATAGATAAATGGTCACTCATTAGAATTTCCTATTAAAATAACCCTTTATTTTAAACTTCGTGATAGGACGATTTAAATATAAGAATTCAGAGCTATCGTTTAGGTGATTTCTAAGTGCCAAGGTTTGCGCCGATCCATATTCTTAGACCGTTCTAACTTGAGTCAATCCATTTTTTTTAAATAATCTACTTTACTTTCCAACTAGATTTAAACATCTAGCAGTTAAATGCTTACAATAAAAATATAATAATTATTACGACTTAGAGGTGGTGCAAATGGAATTCCTACTATCTCGCAGAATCTTGTTGCTCCGAAATTGATTTGGAACACATTTGGCATATTATATAAAATATTATTTTTATGGATTGGCGTTAAGTTTATAAGTCCGAATTAATAAATGGCATACTGTTAACATGGCAGAAAAATATTTGCCATAATTACCTTTGGCAAAACTTTACACTGCATAATTTCGCTAAACATAATTGGTGTCGGTGGTCAGTGGGTTAAGTAAGGTAGTGTGGTGACTTAGGCCCGTATTATAGAAAGATACTCAGTGATTGATCTAGTCTTGAGCATAGTTAGAAAGGGATGTCACTATATATATTACATAGCGACATCCCCTTCTAAATGTACTCAAGTAAAGTTCAACACTTAGTTATCATTCTGTAATACGGGCCTTAAAATTAGCGCGAGCCAAGCGTGCCGTGGTAGCGGCCGGCGAAGCGCCAGCGATCCTGAATAGATAAATAAAACAAGGAAAAGTTAAATATATAACATATTTTATGCCAAAAGATAATACTGGCTGTGAACTTTCTCCGATATAATGTTTCTGCTTTTAAATTATTGTGGATATTTTTATGCCTAAAGCTGGCTATGATTCTGGCTTACAAAATTATGCGTTTAAATGTCTGCCGAATTAGTGAATGCCAAATGATATTCTCCGAAATGAAGATGATGCCATTCGCTGATATGCATAGTAATATTATGACATTAAAAATTATGCGATACAAGGTAGACCCGTTCAAAAGAGATGCAAACTACAGGTGCTGGGAGTCGCCTAAGTGTACGTTGATGTATTTCAAGTATCTTAATTTCATTTAAGTACTACTTAAAAACTTGCTTTCTTAAAACATTTATACAAAAGGTGACTAATTATCTAAAATCTCAAATGTATAAACTTTGTTTTGATATTTTTTGTCATATTTTTTGCGGGTATGTATAATGGCAGACTAGTAACAGTTTTAATTTTAACTTACTACATATTCAACACCATACTGCATGGCAGGGCTTGACCCCTGCTAGATAATATTTTTATATACTTTTAGATAAAGTAAATCGTATTCATATTTGTAAATCAACTGTTTATTTTCGATTATGGAAGTTTTTCATGACTTCTATATGATTCCAAAACCATTTATTTTTTTATAGAGGGCGATCCCAGGGCTGCCAGACCTTACTTATTTTCTGATTTACTTTAATAATATTTTATTATTATAGCTAAAAATTAAGTAAAGTTTTGCTTTTGCTTTCTATATTTAAAGTATTTGGCATAAAATACTGCCAATAGAAGGTGTATGCCAGTATCAATTTGACTTGTTGTTTACAATATTCTTTACAATATACGTAAGAATCAGTTCTCAGAATATAAGTAAAGTGAAAAAAAATAATACGAACCTGTACCACCTGATACCTGAGAATAGTATGTATACGTTCATTGTACACACTAATACTTCTCGATTATCCATAATATTTTATTCATCAGAAAATAAGTAAAATTTGGCGGCCTTTGGATCTTGTGCTATTATGTTTGTTTATTAGGTTTTAAATGTTTTTACGGAAACTCGAAAATCAGACTTAACGACAATACTAATTAGCGTTTTCTGGACAGATAGATATTAAAAACCGTTTGCACACAACATTCTTAATTTAAATTAAGGCTTTCTCAATTATTTCTTCCTTGTTCAGGGCTTTGTCGTATCTTTAAAGTCAAATATCTCTATTTGAGAATGACGTGAAACAATGATTAGCTTTTAAATGTGATTAAGGAACTTAGGTGCAAGTTAAGGTTAGCTAGAGCCATAGCCTAAGACTATTACTGGACGGTACGTAAAGATAAACTAAAAAAAAGAAAAATCACGATATTTCCTAATAAGAAAATTACGGTTTGAAAATACTAAAAAAAAAGTCAACTTTGATAATGTAAGTATTTATAATATTTAACATTACAGTAAAGAAAACTGTAGGTAGAAAGTACGTAATTATACTCACAAGAAGTACGTAATAAAATTTCTTTTGTTCTGTTCGTAGGTTTATATACCTACATGTAGAGTAAGAGAAGGAGATTTCACAACTTCGAAATTTAAAGAAAAAGATACACTTATAGTAGTTAGGTATCTATTGTTAGTGGGGACAATATAAGCAACGAATTAGTACAAATAGTTAAACAATAAACGACACGGTTTAAGTGAAATCGTTATTGGCCTGTTGACTAAACGGATACAATGGGTTGCGTCACTGCGCGGCAAGTCGCGGCGGCCGGCGGCGATGGCGGTGTCCTATCCAGTCTGCAAACTAGATATAATTCTTTTGCCGTGACATCCTATTATGGCTTGACGAAAAAATGATTATTTACACGGCAAATACACAAGTCTTTGACGATTTAGCATGCTGGACCCTCGCAATATTCTTGAGATATCAACAAATCATTTAGTACCTAATCTACGTATTTACATGGTGACTACGTAAAAATACGGACACTGGAATAATTTGCATTTAGCAAAGCAGTAGCTCGGTAAAGTACTGAATTAGATACTTGCGAGTAAAGAGGAAATGATTTGTCATGCGATGACCACGTAGATAAACTATTAGACCTAAACACGGTTCGAAATGTCAAATGACAGGGTAAAAATTAAAAATACAAGCTTTGAAAGTAAGAAAATATAATATTGAGATTTGAGAATATCAGAAAAAATAGGAGTAACATGGTCATAAATCGCCTAATTCAATCAAATTGTAATAACTTGCTTCTAAACTAAACCGTGCTTCGGAAGGCACATTAAGCCGTTGGTCCCGGCTGCATCTGCAGTCGTTAATCCGCACTGGTCCCGGGTGGTGGGTCATAGCCCAAGCTCCCTATTCCATCCATAGGGAAGGCCTGTGCCCCAGCAGTGCTTGGGGTTTAATTAAATTTTTCGCTATATAAACTAAAAATATTTGTTGCATAATTTAGCCAATAAGCTTTACGGTATTTAGTGTGCGTTTTTAACACAAATTGATATAGTGACGCAATTGGAAAAATCAAATCGTATAAATTGAAATTCGCTGTCGTTCAAAGCAAGCGAAAGATTTCTCGAGTGCATTCAGTGGAAGCACTTTCACTGCGATCTCCCTGAGTTTTAGTTCTCAGCTGCTCGCATCTTGTTAAAATTATGTAATCCAGCGTAGGTATCGAGAGCTTTCGGTGAATAGTTATCACAAGAAGGTTCATTTGGGATTTGACACCTATACCTATATGAAAAATAGAGCTTCAAAATAGCAATGCACATTTTAAAGATGAGCAATTAAAGTGTTACTTAAGCTTTCAAATATAACGTTTAGATTTGTTTGGAACAGTAATTACCTACTTGGACTTTACTCTTTTTTTCTATTCCAGTCCGTCATGTAATAAATATAGAATCCATTTAAAGTCATCTTGTTGATTAAATATTTTTCAAAACTAATATACCTTTTTCATTTGTAAATTTGTTCAAAAATATCAACAAAACCGACTAAAGCACACAAACCAAGAAAATAAAGCATAAGTTTTTTTTGTCTATCAGGCGTACCGGCAGCGCGTGTCATCCTCAGTACAGATCGCGAGGATCGCGGCGCTGACGGTGGTGGCTGCCTCATTCATCTTGGGCGCTTTTATCCTGGCCTCAAGCTGGGTGGCTGCGAGAGCCTCCTGCCACCAGCTCGAGCAGCTCGACGCCATGTTGGATAAAGAGTTGGCCTTAGAGGGCAGAGCTTACGGAAACGACGGATTACTGGCGGTAAGTACCTTACTTTTCTGACCCTTTGTGAACACATTCTAATAGTGGATTAGTTATCCCTGTAAGCATTGTTTAGCGTCTGTACCGATTGCGAGATGATTCTTTTCTCATGTGAATAGAAGGGTGGAATCCAATATCTGTACACGTGTTCGACTACAGAAATGGTGCCTTTTAAGTAAGCAAGCAACAATTTGCTATTTATTGAACTGAACGCCTTTATTGGTACTGAATTACTGAATTACGGAAATAATGTTTCATAACTGTATCGTACAATTTTAACATGGAGTTTTCATTCCGGACAAGAGTTTTCTAGTTCTTTCTTGCAAGCTGTGAGTAAAAATCAGTCGTCTTAGTGTAGAGTCCTTATTGCATTCTTATTTGAATTTCATAATAACATTTGTACGATATAAAAGCTAATTTATGTCGTCTGAATAAGGCAGATTTTCATTGTTCCGAGGGCTACTTTGTGTTAACATTAATTCTATATGAGAACACTATGTGGGAGATGAAAATAAGGGTGCAATTATGGGTTGGTTCCCTACACCTTTTTATCATGTCTAACATAATATTATCATCTATCTATTGAGGAAAACAACGTACCTACTGCTGAGGGCGATGGTAATAAATAGTATAACATATTGTTCAGTATTTTGCTGTTTTCTTGCCATGTTTAAGCGAGTGTAAAGTTGGTTTCCAATTTTCAATGAAACTACAATTCATATTTATTAAATGTCATATGATAAATACGAATGATGTCATATAATAAATACGAATTTAATTTACACTGTGGTTAATTTCTAAATTTAATGAGGATGTAAACAATTGTAAACACTAAATGATTAGGTTTAAACCGTTTGCTTGGTTTCACGTTCTCTTGCTATTAAATTAACGACTTGTAATACGTTCGTATGTTTTCACGAACACCACTCGTTAAGTGAAACACTGTTTCAACGGGTTTTAAATACGTTTTTTTAATACTTTTGAGAACGGAGCCTATGAACTGTATAGGATCCGAAACGCAGAGATATGTATAAATTAAATTTATTATTTTGAGTTAACAATAAAATATGTTGAGATGATCAACTATTCAATTTATTCAATTATTATTTACATTTGTGGATAGGTACTATAAGATCTGAAATGATAGAAATATTATGTGAAATACCGCAGAACACAAAAAGAGGTGGAATACGCTCAATTTTCAAACTTCTATGATGATATCTTAAATGATTTTTATTTGTAATTTAAATACAAAAATTAAGCTGAAACATAATTACATAAAATCGCAATAACGAATTTAACAAAACTTCTTATGTTAAAAAACACGAGTTGGTTTGTAACGTAATTTAATATCCATTCGTTGCATAAGTAAATGGTTTGCTCACTTTCACGGTATACACAATTTCCACAAGTCATAATATTATTCATATTATTTATTATATCCATGCTAATGTCGTAATGAACCAACGGAGGGATTCAACAGGAAGCCGGTCACGTTTGTCGAGTGAACGGTGTGCATTTATATATCGATTACGATCCAAGGAGATATAATGAGTAGCTATCATCAAAAAATAATTGTATTGAAATAAAAATGTTCTTTTGTTTAATCATTTAAAGATTAATAACAAAATGAACAAATATACACCAACCTCTTTATTATTATTTTTAATTTTTTTTACCAACAAAATTAGCTTCAAAACCCAGCTACGAAGCTTTTTACAGGAACAAGCAGTCCTAGGTTAAACGTTAGTCGTCATTATTATATATTAGTATGTATATTTAAATATGTATGTATGTATACGTATATTTTTTTATATGTAAGTAATTATTTATGTATGTGTGATTATATATATGACAGCTTCATATTTATATATGTTCGTCTTTCTGTAATTTCCATGTAAGTTGTGCACCCTACCACTATTTATCCACAACACCCTATGGTTTACTGGTAGAGAATGCCTATGGCATTAAGTCCGCCTTTGTATACTTGTGCATTAAGAATAAATAAATAAATAATAAAAGAGGAATAACTTATACTAGTTTTGCCGTGTTTTGTTCATATCACTTAAATGCCATTTATCATTCAATGAGCAGGGGCAAAACATGAAATATCTAATCCAAGCTAATAAAGGCCATGTTGTTTCATCGATAGTTAAATTTGATTATAGTCAAATACAAAGTTAATGTGTCAAATTTTGACAAATGGTTATTTTTTAACTATAGTCAAATTTAACTTTCAATGAAACAACGGGGCCTTAATATATACTCATAATTCTTATTGTCTTCTGCAGTATAAAGTCATTTTGACGACCTCCGTGGTCGAGAGGCTTGTACGCCGGGTTTCAAGGTGTGGCCTACTTGAGAGGTCCCGGGTTCGAATCCCGGTGGGGGCAGATGTTTGTGTGACGAATACGAGTAGTTGTACTCCAGTCATGGATGTTCAATATGTATTTCTATATGAATATACTTATTTTATGTATCAGTATATGTATTCTATCCGTTACCCTAGGATCCCATAACACAAGCCTACAATGCTTACTTTGGGGCTAGGCTAATTGGTGTGTGTTCGAATATTTATATTTATTATTATTTTTTTGTTAATAAGTCTTAATAACCAACCGGTGGTTAGGCGTAGTAAACTTATTAACATTTTTTCTTGACTACGAACGAAGTTTGTCTTTGTTATGTACTTACATAGATAGTCAATTGTATAAAGGTATATTTTCTGGTATTGAACAATAATTTCTTAACTATTGAATGTTTATGAACATGAATGTAAAAGAAGAGAAGTATGTTTCAATATAAGTAATATTTAACGGGTTAAAACGCGCACTTGTAATAAAGGTTTTCGTACAAAAACTTCATAACAAGAGCGCGTTCTAACTAGTGTTGCCAGGTGTCCCGATTTACGCAGGACGTCCCGATTTTCAGGGGTCTGGGGACGCGTCCCGATTTGAACTTGATCGGCACGCTAAATGTCCCGATTAATCAAAAAATTAAATTTGGGCAATTAATATAATACTATAATTGCACTGTCGGCTAAACATATTTACATGGAAGTGTCAAAAATGGAAATGGCCCCGAGTACCCCGCGTCTTTTCAATAAGACAGGGGTGCGAAGAATCCCCGGGTGGAAAACACAAAACAATTTAAAAATAGCAACTTGGGACGTTAGAAGTCTCAAGAGTCCAGAAAAGGTTCATAACTTATGTAAGGAGATGAAACGGATGGCCATAGATGTAATGGGGCTGAGTGATGTCAGGTGGAGGGACAGTGGCACCAAAAGAATAGTAAGCGAATGTATATGTAATGTATTGTATTACTCTGGGTCATGTGAGTCGTCCAATAAACATGGTGTAGGAGTAATGATAAATACCAAAATGGTTAAAATGAGTGTCAGTTTTGTGCGTAAGTTAAATCGCTCTATGCTGCTGCAGATACAGGCTAAACCAAAAAATATAAAAAATATTCGAGTCTATGCTCCTACATCAGATGCCAATGATCAAGAAATTAAAAGTTTTTATGAAGAGGTAGAACAACTACTTTCCATAACTAAAAGTCACGAAATCAATCTGGTGATGGGCGATGTGAATGCAAAAGTTGCCATGGGAGAAGTGGCAGGTGTTGTGGGTAAACATAGATTAGGTGTAAGAAACGAAAGAGGTGATACTCTTGTGCAATTCTGTCAAGAACATGAACTCGTAATCACTAATACCCTTTTTCAGTTACCGCCACGAAGACTGTACACATGGACATCGCCACGACATACCCCTGACCGCATCATGCGTAATCAGATTGACTTTATTATGATCAACAACCGCTTTAAAAACTGCATTAAAAGTGCCAAAACATACCCAGGTTCTGATATAAGATCTGATCATAACCCATCGTTCACATGTACTCTTAAAAAGAATAACAAGAAAAAACCTCATACAAACCGAATGGACATAAGAAAAATAGGCCGTTCTGATATAAGATCTAAGATATCCAAAAATATAAATGAATGGGCACTTGCAGAGAAGCATGAGACGTCACAAACCGTGGATGAAGCCTGGTCGCGATTAAAATCAAGATTGGGCTCAAGAACAAGAACATTGGGCTCCTAAGCAGACTTGGATGACTGACAAAATATACCGAAAAATGGAGGAAAGAAGACTCTGTAAACACACAGATAGCACTAAGTATAAACAGCTGGATAACGAAGTGCGTAGAGAAGTCAGATTCGCTCGTAGTTTGTGGTACAAAACAAAATGTGAACACGTAGAAGCACTTCATGCCAAACACGACTCATTCAATCTGCACAAGGAGATTCGAAGTATGGTAGGACGCAAAACAACCCTGCAACAACACCTTGTGGATCAAAATAACCTACCCATAATAGACTTAACAAAAAAAAAATAAGCTATAGGAAGAGTATGTATCATCTATGTTTTCTGACGGTTCAAGAAGTCGGTGGGCTCAATGTAATGAAGTGGATACTGGCTTACCGATTTTAAAAGATGAGGTGCGAAAAGCATTTCATAGGGCTAAGGCCGGCAAATCAGCAGGACCTGACAATATACTCACGGAAATACTCAAGATAATTGAAGACGAGCATCTTGAAGCTATTGTTCACTTCATGAATCTCGTGTATGACACAAGCCATTTTCCAAACGACTGGCTAATTTCTACCTTCGTCACTCTTCCTAAGAAAAGAAATGCCAAAAGGTGTGAAGATTTTAGGACAATCAGTCTCATGAGCCATGTTCTAAAGCTATTTCTTAGTGTCATACATGAGCGTATTAGGAAGAAGTGTAATGAGCAACTGGCTGATAGTCAGTTTGGGTTTCGTTCCGGTGTGGGTACTAGGGAGGCTCTTTTCGCGATGCATGTTCTGGTTCAAAAATGTAGAGACATGAAGCAAGATGTGTTCATGTGCTTTGTCGATTACGAAAAGGCATTTGATAGAGTTGAACACGATAGACTTATCGCACTTCCGAGAGACACTGGCCTTGATGATA